GAAGACCCCAATCCCGTAAGCTTCAGTTGTGATGTATATACATACATGCAAATGGTTCTACACACCATCGGATGAAACATGTAGCTGTGGCTGTTTGCAACCCTGTCGCAGCCGCAAACCGTATCATTTTTCTCTTGCGCTCGAAAGAGACCCGTTTTGGGGTTGGAGTGCAGGAGCAGAATATGCTTCAGGTCCAGCATTGTGAAAGCCGCCCGGAGGTGAGAGAGGGTGGCTCTTCAAGCCGTGGGTCCTAAACCCTGAAGCACGTTTTTGGAGTGTCATGCGCTTGTCTGCTAGGATTCCCCACAAGTCTTAAGTTGTGAGAGTCGGCTCGAAACCCTAGACCCCTTAAAGCCTGAAGCCAAGCACTGAACTCGAGAGTTCATTGCTCGAAGGCATTTCAGCCTTGAAGCACTTCATCAGCACTAGGGTTGTGTGTGCTTCGGGGTTCCTTGGCTGCCGGGAGTGCGCTTGAACGGAAGCTATAACTCATAGAAGCTATGGTTGGTACTGTATCACTTCAATCTTAAACCCTGGGTGCTTCACTGTATCTTGACCCCCGCACATCCACCCACTATGTAGTAAGTCACTGGGTTACGGATAGATTTGGGGCGCGTAGTTCTTGAGAATGTTCACGATCGAAGATCACGCTTCGGATCTAGGCCTGCGGGCCTTTAGCACGATGTGTGCCGATGCGCACGCACGTGTTTTTAGCAATTCATCTCGAAGATGCGAGCACCATCCGCCGCCTTTCAAGGCTTCGTAAAAAAGATACCAGGACCTTTGGCGGTGCTGTTGTGTTATCTCATACCCCATTCTAGCAGATTCTAGCAGGGAGTGAGCTCGAGATCATGCAATCATTCCCATATATGACATATTAAGCTCTTGTGGCAGTGATAGATCGGCAGCCGGGCAGATTGGTGGCTGGAACATCGTTCAGCATCAGGCATGGTCTTAGATCCGAAAAACAAGACACCAAGTCCGAAGCTTGGAAGGTCATGATGCGGGCTGTCAACATTCATGTAGTGTAGGACGATCGACAGAGGACGGGAATTTCCTGTTTTGCCGATAGAAGGCCTCGCACGTAGATGCTAATCCGAAGCTCCTTGTCATACTGATTTGCATAGCCATGACTGCAGTAGTATGAGAGAAGGACGTGCGGCGACACCCTGTAACCTTCTGCCGTTCCTGCAAGAATCTGCGGAGCGTGCAGGAAGTGCGACCAGAAGAAGAGAAGTTGTCATGCCTGAACAATCCTGTGAGTAGGATTGAGGGCCAGTGCACAAATCAAGAAGTGTACCAAGCTCAACGGCCCAGGTGCGGATCATTCGCACTATCCAACTCTGCGGTGTGGATCATTCGCACTATCCATCTTATGATGGCTCAAGTGATTGCATCAGAGATCAGAAAGTGTGAAGTCCCATACCCCCTTCTGGGGGGGAGGGACACATCAGGGTCATTTCGGAGCTTGCTGTGGAGGCGGGTTGGTTTTCAAGGTGTCACAGGTATTGTCATGGAGGGTTCCCCGGCTCCAACCCATTTCAGTAGGGTTAGTGAGGCAGGTAGTCCCCCAGGTCAATGTCAGGTTATGTTCGCCCAAAACGCTACAAGCGCGACTTCCTACAACCAACAGCATCAACAGCCTCAGCAGCCAAGCTTTGACATCCTGCTGCGCCAGTTGACTAGCATAAGTATACCGGCAGAAGCATTGGAGCAGCTCGGGCAATCGCGACAGTTGGAAGAAGTTGTTGAGTCCATGACGCGACGACACACAGTGCATGAGCGACTTTTCTTGGCTACTGATCAGCATGTCCGTCTTCTTCATCAACGCCACGATAGCTTGATGTGTCAGCTACAGCAGTTTGAGAGTCAACAAGAAGGTCGATGGCTAGCGTATTCCGAAGCAGACAGGTTGCAGCAAGCATCGTTCAACGAGACCGTCGCGCAAGTGCAAGACATGGTGTGTAAAGTACAATCGTTGTCTACCAAGCTCGACGAAGCCAGGAGCGATCTTGGTTTGTTGCAAGAGGCGGTTGGAGCGTTGCAAGCAGACATAGCAGCTTGTGATGCGAAAATCGATGCTGTTTTCGGCAAGGTTTCTGTGTTGTCCTCCCAATCCAGTCAGGAGGAAGGGGCAGCCGCAGAGTCACGAGTCCATGCTAGTATTGATCACTCTGCTGACGCACATGTCACAAACCGGGAACCCACGACATATCGGCAGCACATGGAGCTGTTAATGAAGCAACTGCTCGAGGAGAGAGCGCGGCGTGAGGCCCTTGACGACAAACTGTCACGAGAGATATCAGTCAGGCAACAAATGGAGCGCAGGCTGGTGTCATTGGAGCAGCGTCAGGGGTCCGCAACTGCGGTCCCTTCAGCGACTCAAGTGTTCGCTATGTCGCCCGAACCCAGTTCGGAATGTCAACCTCAGATGCCTATGGATGCAACAGATAGTTGGTGGCATTTTGGGGCAGGACCGCCAGGGCTGACAAACCAGCCACCCAGGATACCGGAGAATCTCAGGAGGCCAGGGCCAGTTGAGGGACAGCAGCCGGTAGCAGACCGTATGAGGGAAACGTACGGCCGAGCACTTGGTGTGAATCTTGAGGTTTCGGATGCTGGCCAGACAGGTCGGATAGACGAACAAGAGGAACACCAAGAAAAGGGAGCGTCAAGTGGCGGTGCGCACGCTGACGACGCAGTAGATGTAGATAAGATCCCAGAAGGAAGGTGGAAGTTGCTGAAAGATCTGCCGCCACTTGAGCTGACAGGTGCTCAGACATGGGAGCAAGGTGTACAGTTGGCGAGTTGGCGAGCTCAATGCTCTACGATCTTTAATGGGGTTGGCTACAGCTTTGCGCAGTATGCTAAACTTGTTTGGTCGCAGGCAGAGAAGATGTACAGTGACAAAACCATTGGCATGAAGAAGCCTGAAGTCCCAATGATTCGGACTGAACACTTGGACTTTGAAGCGCGGCTTACTTCAGCGCTCCTTCGTATACTCCCGGAAGCCATTAAGACGCCTGCCGTTGAAAGGGCTGATGATGGATGCATTTCGAGTGCCTTGCTGTGTATGGGAATTCTTTCCAGGCTGCAGCCCGCAGGTCCGGAAGAGGCGACATCATTGTTGTCTTTTTTGAGGTCCCCGCCAACGGCTACCACGGCACAGGAGCTGGAGGGTTTACTGAGGAGGTATAATCTAGCACTGCGGCGCTTGCATCAACTGCAGATGCCACCCATGGCTCCAAGTGAGACACTCAAGGCATTGCAGGCGATGACTAGAGCTGTGGAGCGCAAGTACAACAGTTTTCACATGCGGCTGAATCTGTTAAGACTGTTTCCGGAAGCCTCGACGAGACCTACAGAAGAGGGGGTGAGTAAATTCAAAGAAACAGTGGAGCAGCAGCTGCATGAAATCACCGCAGATGAGATTGCCCGGGAGTCCAAGAACCGAGACCTCACCACGGTGAGCAGAGTCGACACTGGGGGTGGAGGTCAAGGGAGTGACACTTCCAAGAGGGGCATTTGTCATTTCTTTAGTAAGCCTGGGGGGTGCTATCGTAAGAATTGTCCTTTTCAACATGTTGCTGATCTTGGGAAGGGCAAGCCTAAAGGGGATGACGGAAGGGGTAAGGGCAAGGGCAAGGGTAAAGATAAGGATGGACAGGGCAAAGTCCAACAAGTTGAATCTTCCCAAACCTCTAGTCCCAATGCTCCGAGTCATCCCGAAGGGAAGGCTAAAGCAAAAGCAGACCCCAAAGGCAAACCGAAGGGTAAGGCGAAAGCTGAAGCCCAGAAGTTGCTTGGTGTGGATGATGCAAAGCCGAAGGTGTCTATGATACGCGTGGGTCCCATCGCAGGTCGTTTTCGACAGTTTGAGGAGGAGCCAGATTCACGGGCCGAGCCGCAGGGGATTCACATACCGTTAGAGCACAGTGGTGGACCAGGAAGCTTCATGTGGTCTGAGACGCATCTGTATGCATTGTGTGAGGCTTCAGAAGGAGAGAGATTTTCAGCATCAGCGAGCTGTCCGAACAGAGCAGTTCTGCAGTTTCGTCACTTCGATGTGTTCCAATCCTTGCCTGAGTCTATCTGGTCAGCGCGGAATACTTGGGATTTTGACGGTGAGGTTTGGGATAACGATGGGCATGTGGCGACAGTGGTCCAGAGCGGAGAGTGTGCAGATGAGTACGTAGTAGCTATCTTCATTGATCACCGTGACCATGACAGGTATAGGACCATTGTTTTCACACAGGAGCGCAAGGCACAGTGGCACAAGCAACATGATGACCAGGAGATCTGGCCTCCAACCGTAGCTAAGGCGAGTACGCCTCAAGATACGGTGGTGGATGCACCGGGCTGGGTGTTGCTGGATTCTGGGGCGAATGAGGTGTGCAGACCACTGGATGAGAGCTTGGATCTCAACGATGCGGCTAAGTTCATCCCGCTGAATGTGACGTTGGCGAGTGGCCAAGAATCTGTAGGATACCGGTCTGTTCGGGATGGCGAGGTGGTTATGGACATGAACGGTTCGAGTGAGTGGATAGCCGGAATCCAGAAGCTGGCTAGCATTGGATGCACATTCACATGGGGACCTCAGGGGGCAGTCCTTCACACACCTGATGGTGATGTTCAGGAAGTTATGATTCGTAATGGCTTGCCCTTTATCTCCTGGGAGAAGTTCAAAAGGCTCAGATCTCGTCTTTCTAAATCCCATCGTCAGGGTCCTCAGATGCAGTTGGGAAGGTCCTGGAATGCCAGTGTTACAGAAGCCGCTCCAGCCATCTTGGCGCCCGGCGAGCACATGGGCTATGAGGCGCTAGCCCAGAAAGCAGGGTTACAGGAGGAGCCACAAGCATTGGAAGATGCAGTTGATGAGACAGAAGCGCAGGCCAAACAGTGGCTTGAGCGGGGATCTTGCACATGGGACGATCTTCTAGCATTGCTTGTTAGGGCTAAGCTTAAGCTGAGACGGCGTCGTAGGCATGCTGAAGGAGCGGACAAAGAACAAGTAGTTATCTGGAATTTCGGTCGTTGGTGTCATGGAGGGTGTCATGGCATGACCGTGTTGTCACGCACTCACCCATGGCTCACGAAGCTGATGGCAAGCTTGATATCAAAGGACAAACCAGACTTTGCATTCACCACTATCACTGTCACTGAAGACACGGCATTCCTACCTCATCGCGACAAGTTCAATGCTGCAGGCACAATGAACTATGCTCGTGGGTTGACGAGGTTTACAGGTGGCCAGATTTGGATTCACGACGTCAGCGCAGCAGAGGACAAGGCTTGCGCATGGAGGCAAGTTCGAGCTGGCAAGGATGCACTTCCAGGAAGGTTGTTGGATACTTGTCAGAAGTCTGTAGTCTTTGATGGTCGAGCTACTCTTCATGGGACCGAGCCCTTCTCAGGACATCGAGTCATGATACTTGCATACACTCCGAGGGGTATCGAGAAAGCATCGTCAGAGGAACTGACGGCTCTGGCGAGGCTTGGGTTTAAGCACCCGGTGATCAATGAGTTCGAGATACCGAGGCGTATTGAGGATACGACAGATGGCAGCAGCAACCCCACAAGTGAAGCATCACCACGCAAGCAGCACATCAGCGTTTCTTGTTCAGAACAAGCCAACACATCTCTCCCATCCGAGGTGAAGGTGAGGTTCAGGGATATGCCTGAGGTTCACGAGTATTCTGAGGCTAAGGGCCTTTTCAGCGAGAGTGAAATTGAGTATGCTCCTAGTGAGGTGGATGTCGATGACGATGGGGTCGATCAGGCGATAGACCTTAGGGTTGAGAAGGGTTCCAAGCCGAGTGTGAAAGTGGATGGCAAGGGTAGAGGTAGCTCCGGTTCGGGGGACGGTGATTGGGCTGTCATAGGTCCGGACGATACATTCGATCAGATGTTGGATAAACTGGGTCTAGCAGAAGACATCTCTAGAGATGCTAGCGCCCGCGCAGATGGCACTGATGATTCGGACGATCCTGAGAAGGTGCTGCGACGGAAATGCCTGGATGGCTTCTTTAAGCATGGTTGTCCGGAATGCACTGGTTCCCGAGGGCACCGCAGGCTACATCGGAAGCTGAAGAATCAACCAGTTTCGGAAGGGACGTTGAACATTGATGTGTCGGGGCCACATGGCGAAAGCATTGACAAACAGCGGTATTTCCTTGCTGCTGTGCTCCTCATGCCTGACGGCACCTGCATCCCTTTCGCGAAGTGCATGGAAACCAAGACCGCAAACGAAACTAGAAAGAAGCTGACTGAGGTACTAGCACAAGTTGTAGCCATGTCAGACGGCCAGGTTCCGCTGCTGCGTGTTCATTCGGACTGTGGTGGCGAGTTTACTGCGGATTCTATGTGTGCATACTTCAGACGAATGGGCCTTTGGAAAACCAAGAGTGTTCCGTACTGCAAGCAGTCATCGGGCAAAGTGGAGCGCGCGATTCAAACAATCAAGCATCAGTCAACATCTCTTTTACTGCATGGTGGTCTCCCTGCCATTTTCTGGACATTCGCGGTACAGCACGCGGTGTATGTGTTGCGAGCCGCTGCGCTGGAGATTCCATGTCCTAAGGACGCTCCCATCTTCGGTTCACTTGTAGCAGTGAAGAAGCCGCATTCGGAGGCGTTTGAAAGCAGGGTGGAGCAAGGGATCTATCTTGCGGCGGATGATTCGTTTGTAGACGGGGCGAATGTTCTAGTGCAGAGAGACGGTGAAGGAGGCATGAAAATCATCAAATCGAGATTGCCTGTACTGTTGAATGTGCCGAAACCAACTTGGAAAAAATCCTTAAGCCCGGATGAAGAACATGAAGTGTGGATCTCATCAGAAGGGGAGGTCAGGTGGACAGCTCCGCATGCCGGAGAAATCACAACTTTCGAGGAGAGGACAGATGGTCCTCAATATGATGATCCTACGCGCTACCGCAACTTGGAACAGGCCATAAAGCGGAAGCTCCACGGTCATGACGAAAGAGACGATCTTCCCGATTTGGTTAGGTTCAACCATGGGTTCTTAGTTGCAGAGCCATCTTGTTTGCAGGCCAAGGTAGAAACCGACGGCAGCGCCGGCAACGCCGAGGCCGAGGGCAAGTACGTGGTCTTAGGTGCGGAGTATGAGGAGGAGCAAATTAGACAGGAAATGGAAACACTGTTGTCGGGAGCTGAGAGGGCATCCGCACGTGCGGTGGACAATCAAGTTTTCTTCGAGGGAAGTGAGCAACAAAAGGCAGCATGGTACGCAGCCATCGACAAGGAGCTACGGACCATGGGCGATAAGGGAGTCTGGGAAGAGACGACGGTGGACCGGCTAAAACAACAGCTGGGCTACGTTCCAGACATTCTGCCAGCAAAGACTGTCAATGTGGAGAAGCCGGCATTGGATGCAGAGCCAGGTACGGTAGAGCATGAGCTGGGATACAAGCCTCGATCACGCATAGTTGTTTGCGGCAACTTCCAGAATACTGAGGGCTCATGCAAAGAAGATTTTTCTTCGGTCAATGTCGACCCTGAGGCAGTTCGGTACATGCTGGCATTACTGGCTGAACATCCGGAGTGGACAGCTCTGTCGTGGGACGTTGCACGCGCGTTTTTGAACGCGTACCTGTCCGAAAAGCATAGGGCAATTGTTCGGCCGCCTAAAGTGCTCGAGCGCCTGGGGCTGGTGAAACCGGGGACATTGTGGCATTTAAGGAGGGCCCTATACGGCTTAAGAGTATCTCCGATGGAATGGCAGCAGGAGAGGGACAAGGCCATGAAGGAGATGAAGCTAGATCCCCAGGCTGGCGACTTTTTGGGAAAGCTAACGCTGAGAGAAATATCAACATCGAAGGGGCTGTGGGCTATCATAGACGAGCAAGGTCGAACGGTGGGCGTGGGAACGTTCTATGTCGACGATGGTTTAGCCGTAGGCTTGCCAGAGGCAGTCGCTCGGGTTTGTCATGCCATATCACAGCTTTGGTAGATAAAGTTGCAGGGCATGTTGCGGCGATGCGGGGTCACCGAGGGTGACACGTTTGACAAGCACGGAATCTCTTGCCCGGTGGTTTCTGAATTTTCCTTCCTCGGAACGCAGATTGTGAACCATCCTGACGGCATCCTCTTGACACAACGGCGATGGCTGCTGCAGGAGTTGGCTAATCGCGGATGGGCTAAGGTTCAGGGCAGCCATAGCCTACCTGTCCCACAGGAAGGGACGTTGGAACCTGAAGAGCGGGATCATAGCTTCGCGGAAAGGCTCAAACATGTGCAATCAGAACTGGGCAGCCTGATGTGGCTGGGATTAAGGTCTAGGCCAGATATCTGTTCAACCATCGGTGTGACAGCTTGCCTAGCCGCCACCAATCCAAGAGAAGCGCAACGCTTGTGCAACGGTTTGTGGAAGTACCTCAGAGGCACCGTCGACTGGGGCATCCTGTACACAGCTTCGGGAGCTACTACACTAGACATACACACAGACGCATCCTTCTCACCAGGAGGCTCGAGGTCTAGATCCGGCATCGTGCTGAAGGTTGGGAACAACATCATCAGTTGGAAGAGCCTTCGTCAAGCTTTGACGGCGTTTTCAGCTACTGAGAGCGAGCCTGAGGGAATGACATTAGGAGTTGAATTGGCAGTCAAGCAGCGAATCATGATGCAGGAGATCAACAATGCAGAAGTGTCATGTGTGCTCCATGCGGATAACACTGGAGCAATCAATCTTGCGACGAGGGACCAGATGGTTTGGACCCGCATGCGCACGAGACATTATGCATTGAGAACTTCCTGGCTACGCGATCAGCTCATTGAAGAAGGCATTCCTGTCGAGCATTGTCGTACGAGCGAGCTCGCCGCTGACGGCCTAACGAAGGTGTTATCCAAAGGGAAGCTTGATCTAGCACGCGGAATGCTGGGCATGATCAAGTGGAAATCCTGAGAATAGCATGGACACGCTTGCACAACGTATCAGCATGAAGGGCATTTTGTCCGAGGGGATAGGTTACTGATTGTTTCAAGGGCGCTCAGTGCCTGTCAAAGTTTTGATGTGCAGATTGTGCCAATGTGGTGCAAAGATGCATGCATGGCCGTTGGAAAGTCCACTGATTAGTACGGGGCCATATTCTGATAATGTGATGTGCCATGGAGGACCGTACAGACCTCATGGCAAGGAGGAGTGTGAGTAGGATTGAGGGCCAGTGCACAAATCAAGAAGTGTACCAAGCTCAACGGCCCAGGTGCGGATCATTCGCACTATCCAACTCTGCGGTGTGGATCATTCGCACTATCCATCTTATGATGGCTCAAGTGATTGCATCAGAGATCAGAAAGTGTGAAGTCCCATACCCCCTTCTGGGGGGGAGGGACACATCAGGGTCATTTCGGAGCTTGCTGTGGAGGCGGGTTGGTTTTCAAGGTGTCACAGGTATTGTCATGGAGGGTTCCCCGGCTCCAACCCATTTCAGTAGGGTTAGTGAGGCAGGTAGTCCCCCAGGTCAATGTCAAATCCGCGGTTTAAGACCCCGCATGATTTAGCATTTGGGGTTTTGCGCTTGTGACGTGATGTTGCGAGAGATTACAACCGATTTTATCCCCAAACCTCAGTACAGGATCCTCACGGCAAGAACCTGTGGGGTCCCATCATGTCAACACCAAAACTCCTCCAAGGCACCTCACCGGCACTACCATGGGCTGTTGGAGCCGGCTTCGCGCACAGGCCGGGCGCGAATTCACGACAGCAAAAGAGCTAGGATTTTGTTTCAAATTGCTGCCCCCTGGACCTAGAAACCTGTGCTTGGTTTTCGCAGGTCGAGCCAGGTGGTTTGCATGTCACAGTCGTGCAGACGCAAGAGTGAGCTGGGACACCTCGGACGAAACAGCAAATCCTTTGCACCAAGCCCCGCACCTCAGTGGTGCAGTTTGCGGTAGTGTACCAACCTGGTCTTGGTCTCTGTAGGATGGCAATGAGGCCCTCATGGCTTCGGCTGCACGGTTTTCCCACCCGCACACTTGACCTGGGTTGTCTTTGTCGTGCATGGGGCCCTCTGCCACGAGATAACACTACCATGTTTCATTGTCGCGCGGCGCATGACCAGGCGGGACGGAATCGCTTTAGCTTCTGGCGTCTTCACGGGCGAGTGGACAGAATCAGCAAGTGTTGTCTCCATTGTCTGATTGTCTGCCTGAGTTTTGTTGAACGTGAAGGGATCGCAGGAGCTGTCCCATGCAGTGGCGGTTGGGTTCTAAGGGTTCAGTTTACAGCGCTATCTGCAGGCTTCGAGGTGTACGCGCGAGGGTCAGTATTCCAGATTTGGTACAAGGCGCAGGCTTTAAGTGCACTGTCTTCAAATAGTGCTCATCTACTGGATAGAATGCTAATATAAACACGGCGGGCCTCTATCTTTTAGATAGCTTTTGTTCGAAGCTGTTGACGGTCCTTGGACGTCTCGGTCCTTCTCAAAAACAGGAGTCCGAATCCGGGTTTCCTAACATCCGAAGACACACGGTCGGTTGACGATTGTGGAGCATTCTCAGACGTGTGGCCGTTTTCATTCTGATGGGTTTTTTGCCCTCAGATGACAGCATCCCAGCATCAGCCTGTGCACCATGCCGCTGAAGCTAGATGTTAGCTGACAGCCTAATATAAAAAAGTAGGAACCAAGCAGCACGGCACATCAGTTTTGGAGCTGCAGATTCTGTCTATCCGCCATTGTATGTAGCGCCCACGAGCTGGCTTGCCTTTCAAGCGGCGACTTAGACTATGCAATGAGGATCTCAAGAGACCTGGAAACATATCGAACCGCGGGTAAGTTTTGCCATCGGTGCTGTCCCTCGCCATGCCTTCCTTTAAAACCTTCGCCGACTTCCAGAAGAAGGCGCTCTCGGCTAGCGATCGAGCAGTCTTGAAGCCCGACTTTTACTGTCCTTACGATACTAAGCGATATTATGGCCATTACTGTTAAGGTGGCTGCTTAAATAGGCTTCCACGGAAGGATGGCGAAGCTTCGAGCCTAAGCAGCCCGTACAAGCTTCTCAGAGTTCACAGATGTTCAACAGCTCTCAGAACCCTGCGGTCCGACGCAGCCCGTGCCCCATTCTCGCGGAAAGGAGGCTTCAGAGGGTCAGTAGCCAGCGGAAGCTGAGAGTACATGCAGTGACTCCTGTATTCTGCGCACAACCCCAACCTCCAACTCCGATCGTGGCCCCAGCCCTTGGACCTCCATGGAAGCCTGGATGCCCGAGCAAAAGCACGAATCCCTCAGTGAACAACCCAACATTCGAGCCCCAAGGCCAACTTGAAATCCGAAACAAAGTCCCGTAAAAATTTGTTGCGAATTCTTTGGAATGCCCTGAAATCCGGCTTTCAGGCACAAGAAGCTCAAGCATCCAAAGTGGATGGCGAGGTATCCCAGCAGCCACAGGCACGTCTAGTTTGAAGGTTTACGTTCAAGTTGCCTTGTCGAGGAGAAATCCAGCCTTTAATTCAATAGTCGGGTACGGGGTAGCGGCCGACAGAGGGTCGAGGGGTCCGGATTTGGATTTGGGGCTTGCCGGCTTGGGGTGTCGGGAACGTGCCAGGGAGTGCTTGAAGTTGTTTAGTTCCGGCTGTACTTAAGTTTTCGGCCTGGGGCGGCAGGAAGGGATGAAGGGGGTAGAATCATTCATGGTTCTGCAATACCCAGCCTTGATACGTTTTCGCGCCTCGTATTATGGCACTCTTGGTTTCTACATGTTTCCACGGTTTTCGGCATTACCCTTTAATAGAATGTGGGGCCATTTGGGGCGGCATCCGAACTGTTTTGTCAAGAACGGCTTCCCCGCCACAAACCCCTCAGCCCGTAAAAGCCTTAACCCCCTCAACCGCTTCACTGAATCCAGGGCTTCGGCTTGAGAGTCTCGTCTATCGCTGTTGAGGAGGAGCTCCGCATTGGACTCCCGGTGCGCGTCAAGGGGCTCCAAGCACGGCCAGAGCTGAATGGGCTCGAAGGTTGGGCCTTCGGTGTAGTAGGTTTGTGTGGTTAGTGGTTGGCAAACAGCTTATGTGCGGCTCAGGGAACTCTCAAGATCAACTCGCAGAGGGGGGGTTCGTGCTATCCAGTTTTGGGTGCTTTATTGCTGTCCTTATCGTTGTCGCTGCTGCCGCGCATGCTGTTGGTATAGCGGCTGTGGTAGAGACCAGTTCGATTTTTACCTGTAGAAGCAAACGGCCGGCGACGGAGACAGCAACCTGATATAACCTGATCCTGCTCCGGCTGATGCCAAGTCCTCCAAAACCTGAGATCACCGCTGCGACGCTGTACCCCTCATCGAGATAGATGAAGTCGAGTCGGACCAGAGTTGCTACTACTTGTGGCTATGGTTACAACCTCCTGTCGCTACATTTGCTCTTTGTTTCTGATCACGGCGCTGGCTACGGTTGAGACTGTCAGTGCCCTCAGGTTCCTCGCAGACTCCGTGTTTCTTACGATGTCGGGCAACTGCAGCTCTTGGAGAGTTGGGTCGGGATTGCTTCAGACTTGTTGAGCTAGCCGTCGGTGCCTGAGGATGTCCATGCTTCCCCATATCAGGAAAGATTTATCCCGCTTGGAGCTGTGGTCAATCTCAGCTCAGTATCTCGCGATTACCTGAATCGCAAAGAGGCTCCTGGAGTAGGTCTTGAAGGCTCTCAGCCACCCCCCCCCCACATAGTAATGTTTCCAAGCAATGCCCCTTCCGGAGGCGTGCTGACATTCTTCGATGATCAGAAGTCGCGGTGGCAGGCTGAAGTTTCATTCACCCTTAAGCCAACCAGGAAGGTTTTGGGTTTTTTTCAGGAATTAGGTTGTGGGAGTTTCATGTATTGCTTGTGGCACACAGGCCCAACATGGACAACAGGCAGGTTGTTTGATCTAGCATCCCAACGCGGGGCCTACAGTGACCGAACATTGATCGAAGCTGGGGCCTGCATGTTGGAACACCTGCGAGTCTTTGCGCAGACTTTAGACTGAGACAGGGTACAAATAATTATAGCCGTTTCGCTTAAGCTCTAGATTCTAGAATGCACTACGCATCAATATAGTTCTTTGGGACGGAGTGTGCTTGGGGGCTTTGGGTCGCGAACCTCTGATACAGGGCGTCGGGATCAGTAGACTTTCCCCCTCTATTGAGGAAGCCTGTGACGTTGGGACCACGTGCAGGTAGAGCTCAAGAACGGAGGGGGCGCGAAGCTCTTCAAAGCAGCGTGCTTCGGCGGCTTGAGTCACTTGCAGATGAGCTTTGTGGGTGGATTGTCAAGATCCCACAACTCTACACCCGTGTTTCTTCGAGCTAGGGGGTTTCGATCTGCTCCGGCAGAGGTTCCGTATCAAGCGCCGTTTAATCCTAATCAGGGGGCTTGCGGTTCAGGGGCAGCCAGGAATCTGGAGCACTACATCTCCGACAAGGACACGGGAACATCAGTCCTGAATGCCCTAAGCGCCCCATCAGCGTCACTTCCCCATCATGTACTCGGAAGGTCTGGCCTCACGGTTGCATCGATTCAAGCTTGAGCCACTCCCTCGTCCATAGAGGAACTGATTTCGGAGCTTGTGCTCTTCGTTTGATGTGCGGTCTATGGCTGGTACGGTTGGTCTTTAGCAGGTAAAACGAGGGCTCGTGACTGACAGCCCCGGGCTTTACTTATCACCATGGACATAATCGCGTGGCAGTGGTAGTAGCAGAGCATTGGCAGGCAACAGCAGCATAAGCAGCAGTGGCTGGTAGTATTGGTCGCGCTGCTAGGACAAAATGTACGAGCATCGTGCTGTTACAGTCTATAGTACTCGTAGTAATACTAATGGTGGTAGTGTACAAGTAGTACGAGCAGCATCAGCAGTGCGAGTAGCACGACCAGTACGACTACTAAAGTGACCGAAGTAGTAGCAGTAGATCTTGCTGTTGCCAAATAATGCCAACACTACTACATGCCAGCTGGAAGCATTTAGAAACCAGACAAGCCAACTCTTCTTGGTAATTCCTGAAGCTCAAAAGCAGGATGCCTTGGAGATCTTGAAGAGCCAGCCCAGCAAGGACGACAGAAGTGTTGACCCTCTACAGTACCGCGTCCCAAGCAATGCCCTCTAGAGGCAAGGGGGGCTCCATAGTTGTGCTTTGCGGTTGCACCTGTCGAGCAATGTAGGGGTTGAACAAATAGTATAATATCCTCGTATAAGGAAATATATCGACTCGTTATATCGACTTTCTTGTATTTATGCCCAGAATCCCGATTTCAAACTATTGGCCCGGCGCACCCAGCATTGGATTGGTTTTACCAACACAGCATCGACGATACCTCTGTCATGGCCTGTACTTCAGGGCCACCAGATATCGAAATTTACGCAACTGCCCAGCTCAAGTTGGTGAGGAGCCGAGGGGTAGGTAGAAAGATGGAGAGAGACAGCGAGAGAGAGAGAGAGAGAGAGAGAGAGAGAGAGAGATAGATAGAGAGAGAGAGGGAGAATGCATTCTTGAACTTACTAGGTACGTGATAGGTCCGTGAATCGTGCCAGTGTGTGTGTCTGTTTTCACAGCTGCGCCCCAGGCCCTAGCGGCCAGGGAGCCTGGACCGCTCCCTCTACCTGAGAAGAGAGAGAGAGAGAGAGAGAGAGAGAGAGAGAGAGAGAGAGAGAGAGAAGGATTGAGAGGGAGAAACAGCATCATACTGTCAACCAACAAACACTTGTAGGCGTCCCAAAGTTTGCACTGTAAAGACTTCGGGGGAAGTGGGAGGCTGCAGCCTGTGGGTACTTAGCTACCTTCTTTGTTCCCAAAAACCCCGAAGTCACAGACCTTTTTGACGCCTCCTCAAAGCCCCATAACATATGGGGGCCTCAATGGCCGGGGGGCCTAAACAGCTCCCTAAGCCCTTGCGAAGAAGAAACAGCGACGCATGTCGTATCCTGGAACCTGACGCTCAAGGAAACATCTCTCGAAACGAAAACCCCCAACCCCCACAACGCTGCAACAGTTCAAAAACCGTAGCCACAAACACTTTTAAGCCTTGCCTAGACGGCCACTTACCTCCCCATGGGCTACTGTACCATGGTTGTACAGGCTGGCAGCCTAGTAGGTAGGCTCAGTGAGCCGTCACACCTAATCCTCAAAGCTTACACCCTTAATGCCTAGCGCTTAGTCAAGCTTCCATCCCTGAAACAGTAACTGGAAACACACACACACACACCAAGCCCCTGTTCCAAGATCTAATCATGAAAGTCCTGCAATATGCCTGTCTGGACCTCAGAAGGGGTTGACAGATTTCAGCGGAGAAAAGGAGCCAGTCCGTCCACCGGTGACATCAGCCCCCACGAAGGCGATGCCAAGTGCCTCGGACTTCAAAGGGAGTTGGAGAGCTTTGGGGGTTTTGGGGGTTGGAGGTTTTTGAAGCACAATGGATTCTCAACGTCAGGCGGGCTGCAGGCAGTGTGCTTCCAGATACTTTGCAGTTCTTAGCTGCATTTAGCTGCGTTGGCCGCAAACAACCCCTCCTGACTGACTGATGCCGAACGCCCCTCCGCGGTGCCCAAGCTAAAACCTCCAAGTCCAACACCCGACCCGAGGTGCTGGCTCCATCAACCTGCAATGGAGGAGCACTTAAATCCTCAACCCCCAACGGCCTCAAGCAGGACCATCCTCAAAGCGCGGCCTTTGGAGACTGCGACATCGCCACCACCTCCTTGCAAGCCCCATAGCCATAGTGTAGAAGTGTATGAATCCTTAAGCCGTAGAAACCCTCCAAGATGCTCAGCCCGAGCTCCGGATACTGTAGGAGCTTTGTCTAAGAGCTCAGGCGAAACAGTGCCGGAGCCTGCGGCCGCGCAGCCCGACGCGCCGAAATCCTTCTTGGAACGCTCTCGCTATGGGAAGGCCTGTCTCAGTGCTTTCTGGACTAAACCTTGAGTCATTGGTATAGATCATGTGGCCTGCCTAGCCTGCTGATCCTGCTGTAGAACTGAGCTGCGCCGACGAAGGAAACAGCGCTGGGAGCTTGGTGATAGCTGCCTGTATATCACCTACGAGTCATGCCATGCAGAAGCGTTGCTTGGTTGGGTTTGGGGGTGTTTGCTGCCTTGTTTGGGTCGTGGCAGGGATGACTTGTAGCCGCGTAACTGGTTGGACACCTGCCATGTGAAGCCTTCGGGATTTGCCATGCGGGAGCCAAAAGTATGTACTTTTTTGTATTCCATCCGCATAAATTGCAGAATGTCTTGTACATACATACATACGTACATACATACACATACACATACACATACACATACACATACACACACATACATGTGCATATATTTACATATATACATATACATATATACATATACATATACATATAAACGAATATGTATCTATGCATATGCGCCTGTGTATTTATGTGCGTATGTTCATGTCAATGACAAGGACTTATGTAGGTGTGTGTTTTTATAAATACACATTGCGACCGTACGGGGGGCAAATTAAAGTCGTCCGCGCCACTCGCGCCACTCACGTACGCGTGCCACTCGTGCCACAGCTAGGCAACCGGAACGAGTGGAACAGATAAGGCACAGGGCGAGTGGAGCGAGTGGAACGATTGGAACATTGATTCATTGGCGCCCCCAGAAGAGTGCGACTGCACAAGGGAGGGGGCGAGGAATTGAAGTCGTCTGCGCCACTCGCATCACTCGTGCCACTCGAGCAACTCGCTCCCGCCACTCGCCACTTGCGCTATAGGCGAAAGGATCGAGTGGAGCAGGTAATGTATAGGGCGAGTGGAACGAGTGGCGCCACTCGCGCCACAGCTAGGCAACAGGAACGAGTGGAACATGCAATGTCAACTCTCAATTTAAAAAGACCCGCTGATTGAAGGCATCCCACACCGGCCGTGGACCTGGCTGAAAACATGTTTAAAAGGCACTGGCCTCTTCCACCAGAGCCCCCCCCTTGGGCACTAAAAAACCTTGCCAAAACCCCCCGATTAATGGCAACCCGCGTCCCGTGAAACCTCCCAAATTGAATTCTAGTCTTCAGGCTTGGCTGGGTTTGGGATTGCCTTGGATTTTTTGCTTTCTTAATTAAAAGTTATTTGGGGGGGCCGATCTGGGCCACCGGCCGGCCTACCTTGAGCGGGGGGGGTTATTAATCAAGAGTTCCCGTTAAGGCATAGGGCGAGTGGGACGATTGGAACATTGATTCATTGGGACCCGCCAGAACAGTGCGAATGCACAAGGGAGGGGGGCGAGGAATTGAAGCGCCACTCGCGTCATTCGTGCCACTCGTTTCACTCACGCCACTCGTGCCACCCCGGCCGCTCGCCACTCGCGCTGTATAGACGCAAGGAAGGAGTGGAGCAGGTATCGTACAGGGCGAGTGGAACGACTGGAGCAGTGGAACGAGAGCAGCGGTCGGAGCAGTGGAAGGAGCGGTTGGAACGAGTGGCGCAGACGGATTAGCCCGCCCTGCCGACACTCTTTAACTACATAAAGAAGTGTGTGTGTGTGTGTGTATATATATATATGCTCTCGGGTCC